GACCCTCCTGCTTTGTAGGACACAGGCTAGGAACAACTTCTTAATTGGCCAGGTGGTTAACCACTGGAATAAATTCCTAAGGAAGCTGTGGAATCTGCATCATGCTAAATTTTTAAATACCTATCAGGGCTGGTCTAGTTAATATTTAGCTCTGTCTTGCGTACAGGGGACTGGACTAGACGATCTCTTGAGGTCCTTTCCAGCCCTATGATTCTATATTCCCAGCCCTATGGGCCCTGCCAGAATCTTTAAAAATCTCTTGCCTTTTTAGGCTTCTTCTTAAAAACTTTCCAAAGTCACAGATTCCCTAACCTTAGGTGGGATGCTGCCACCACCCAAGTGCAAAACCGCTTTTTCTGAATTCAGGAAGACTCACTTGGGAACTTCGTCCCATGGGGTACCCCAACCTTTTATCCTCCCCCAGGAGAGAGCTTGAAAACAAAGTGTAATTTCTAACAGCTAACCTCTCAGTCTCAGGCATGTGCTCACAGACCCTCCTGCTTTGTAGGACACAGGCATCAGATCATAGCCTTAAAAAAGGTGATTTTATTAACAAAGCAAAAAAGACTTTTGATGAAGCATACTCGGTTGCCAGATGTTACAGAGCAATTTTTTAAATACCTATCAGGGCTGGTCTAGTTAATATTTAGCTCTGTCTTGCGTACAGGGGACTGGACTAGACGATCTCTTGAGGTCCTTTCCAGCCCTATGATTCTATATTCCCAGCCCTATGGGCCCTGCCAGAATCTTTAAAAATCTCTTGCCTTTTTAGGCTTCTTCTTAAAAACTTTCCAAAGTCACAGATTCCCTAACCTTAGGTGGGATGCTGCCACCACCCAAGTGCAAAACCGCTTTTTCTGAATTCAGGAAGACTCACTTGGGAACTTCGTCCCATGGGGTACCCCAACCTTTTATCCTCCCCCAGGAGAGAGCTTGAAAACAAAGTGTAATTTCTAACAGCTAACCTCTCAGTCTCAGGCATGTGCTCACAGACCCTCCTGCTTTGTAGGACACAGGCATCAGATCATAGCCTTAAAAAAGGTGATTTTATTAACAAAGCAAAAAAGACTTTTGATGAAGCATACTCGGTTGCCAGATGTTACAGAGCAATTGAGAAAACAGATTAAAACACAGAGAATTACTTCCCTGGGATTCAGCTTCAGTTACAGTATACGGAGGTTGGAGTGAACACATGGACTCTGAGCACAGAAATAAAATTAATTAATTATTTTTTTTAAAAAAAAAAACAACCCTGATCACATCTAACTACACATTCCCTATCTACTCACATTTCTTCTCCCCAGGTTCTGTCCTTTGTAGACATAAATATTGCTACTGGACATTTCATGTCTGGCTTCCAAGATTCATTCCACCACCACCCAAGTGCAAAACCGCTTTTTCTGAATTCAGGAAGACTCACTTGGGAACTTCGTCCCATGGGGTACCCCAACCTTTTATCCTCCCCCAGGAGAGAGCTTGAAAACAAAGTGTAATTTCTAACAGCTAACCTCTCAGTCTCAGGCATGTGCTCACAGACCCTCCTGCTTTGTAGGACACAGGCATCAGATCATAGCCTTAAAAAAGGTGATTTTATTAACAAAGCAAAAAAGACTTTTGATGAAGCATACTCGGTTGCCAGATGTTACAGAGCAATTGAGAAAACAGATTAAAACACAGAGAATTACTTCCCTGGGATTCAGCTTCAGTTACAGTATACGGAGGTTGGAGTGAACACATGGACTCTGAGCACAGAAATAAAATTAATTAATTATTTTTTTTAAAAAAAAAAACAACCCTGATCACATCTAACTACACATTCCCTATCTACTCACATTTCTTCTCCCCAGGTTCTGTCCTTTGTAGACATAAATATTGCTACTGGACATTTCATGTCTGGCTTCCAAGATTCATTCCATCTCTCCCAAAACCACACAAAGAACTGCAGCAGGCACATCTCACTTTCTTCCCATTGGCTCTCCTGGCTCCCTGCCAACACTTCCTGGATACCCCTTGTTCTGGATTTAACCCTTTAGTTACTGAATGCTGGGATGTGTAGAAAGGGTAGGGTACCCTTCCCATCCATCACATCCCCCCGCAAAATCAGAGTAGGTGCTGGGCAGGCTGGTCCACACTAGCTGTGATTTTTTTCCTGGAGGCCTAGGAGAAAACATAGCTAATATGATACACGTATATACTAAATTCAATACTGAATACATGAAAACTAAACAAGATTCCTCATATTCATGGAATACAGTGATGGAGATTACAATTTTAACAATCTGAGTCTGGGAAACTCACAGGAGTATATCGACCACTTCGTTAGAAGCTCCTGAAATGCACTGTAAGTCTTGAAGAGCCAAGTTCCACTGAAGGAGTTTCTTGTTAGTTTCTCTGACTGTGTGAAGCCACTTCAGAGCAGAATAGTTGGTCTGCAGATAAAAACGCCATTCCCAAATACATGGGTGTAGCTTCTCTAGAGCACACACAATGGAGAAACATTTCCTCTCAGACACACTAGTGGCTTTCCTTCTAAGAGAGCTTCTTACTGAGGCTACAACTACACTGCAGATTTCTTGAGATGTGCTTTTGCAAGAGCGCATCCAGACCACATGCAAAAGCAGATTCCCCATTCCATTTTGGAAGCAGGACTAGTGGAGAGGCCTATGCAGTCTCAGCAGGGCAGATTACACCCATATCTAGCATGTCCTTGATTTCATTTTCTATAGCGGTTTTGGCCTGAAGGAGCACCTACTGAAGGGAAAGGTAAGGGGGGGAGTGTTGAAGAGGTAACCCTCTCCACAAGCCTCGGCCAAGAGCAGTGACAGAAAATCAAGGAACTGTGCACTAGCGTCATGCCAATGTTTCCTGCTAGCCCAGGGCAGATTGTTAAACCATTTCCAATTATTTTGCTACATATACCTTTAACACAAATCACTCTCACTCCAAAAGTCACAGGTTTGATCCCCATATCTGTCTGAGGAATAATGTGTGTTAAGTTGGGTGGTAGTTGCAACAAAATTAAGTAAACATCAGTTATGGCAGTTCCCCAAATAAGAGCAAGAGGGTGTGCTTATGTAACCATGACCATGTGGACTTGAACCTGGGACCTCTGAAGCTTGGTATAGGAGCCTCTACAGCTTGAGCTATAAAGCCAGATGGCTTCCAGCCCATGCTGTAGAGGTCTCGTTATTATCTGTTGCTGTGGTCTAGGTGCCACTGCATGGGACAGCAAACCAGCCTAGGTGCATGGGTTACAATTAGGCTACATCTACACTGCAGGCTTTTTGCGCAATAACAGGTGTTCTTGCGCAAAAACTTGCAGAGCGTCTACACTGCAGGCGTGTTCTTGCAAGTATGTTCTTATAGGAAAGCATCAGAAAAGAGGGCTTCTTGCACAAGAGTTATTCCTCTCTCCATGAGGAATAAGCCCTCTTGCACAAAAACTATCGTGCAAGAAGGCAGTGTAGACAGGCAACAGCGGGGTTCCTTGCACAGGAAACCCCTATGGCTAAAATGGGCACCAGAGCTTTCTTGCTCAAGTGTGTGTTCACGCTGCCATGGACACTTGTGCAAAAGCATATGGCAGTGCAGATGAGCCCTTGCACAAAACATTTTTCACAAGAACTCTTGTGCAAGACAGCTCTTATGCAAGAAGCCTGCAGTGCAGACATAGCCTTACAGTAGTGGAATATACAGAACACCACATGTGAATTGCAGTCATGGTGTAGCCTTGTGGATTTTAAGTTATGAGAAGTAATATCTTTTACTGGACCTAATTCTATTGGTGGAAAGTCCATGCTTTCAAACTACATAGTCCTGAATAAGTTACAAACTTAGAGCTCTGAGTATCTTTCCTAAACAGATGTTGGCCCAATAAAAAATTGAAAAGTCAACTTGATTCTGCAGTAAAATGAGACTTATTGCTAAGCATCAGCTTGTGACCAGAATGTTATCTTTTTGATGTCAGTGTTCCCAAAACATTTTCCAAGGTCCATCCTGTAATTAATCGTCTTTCGGGGGTGCCTGCTTGCTTCAAGGCTCGTCAATCTGCCAATATCCAATCAACTTTAGAGTAGGGATATGCATCAATGGTTATAGATGGCTTCTCTGCCTCCAGGTCGTCTAGTCTTCACCCACGCTTCCTCACCCTCCTTCTTTGGCCATCTGGTTCTGAGCACCTTGTCTCGACACATTCATATTCCTCTCACACACATAAGCAATGTTACAAGGACTCTTGAGGTTACACAGATACCCAGATCTGCATCAGGCAGAGCAAAGAGGCATTGTAAATCAAGCAATTAAGGCCTCTCAGCCTTCAACATTCTTCTAATCTCATTAACATAGACACAGTATGAGATCTTGTCTCTGTACTTACTAAACTTTAGAACAAGGAAATATAGGAGATATATATTTAACTAAAGGATTTGACTTACTACAATCTTAAATATGATTATATATTACCTTACATTACTACATTACTAAACCTAACTTAAGAAATATAAAAAGAATAAAACTTTCAGTTCCAACACCTGTACCACTATTGCTTACTGCTTAAACGTTAGCAACCAAGATAACAGGCTAGACAGCATGACCAAGTCAGGGAGGGGGAAGAAGGGGGAGTTTGGGTGCCACAGAGAGGGCAGCTTGACCCCACGTTCTTCCTGAAGCCCAAATCTCTAGTGAAATCGCTGAGCTATACTTTAAGAAAAACAGGAAGTTTGTCCAAATGACCTAAGACATATATATATCAGCAGGGCTCGACAAACCACTGTTTCTACTCACCCATGATGAGTACAGGCAGTCCCCGGGTTACGTACAAGATAGGGACTGTAGGTTTGTTCTTAAGTTGAATCTGTATGTAAGTCGGAACTGGCATCCAGATTCAGCCACTGCTGAAACTGATCAGTTTCAACAGCGGCTGAATCTGGACACCAGTTCTGACTTACATACAGATTCAACTTAAGAACAAACCTACAGTCCCTATCTTGTACGTAACCCGGGGACTGCCTGTACTAAGTTATCCTGTGTCGCTCTTCTGAAATGTTTTTCCAACAAAGAACTGGAAATTAAGGGGGAAAATAATTTAAAAGAAAAGAGTTAAGACCAAACCAGAACTTACCCAATTTCTTGCCCCTTTTCTCTAGTGAAAAATGCCCTATTTTTTACTTAGGAAGCTGTATGCATGAAAGATGAACAGGACCAGCAGAAACCAAAGGAAAGAGTTCTGCTCATTTCATAAGAAGTTTATTTATTCAGTGTTCAGGGTCCTGTACAATAGAGTAAAAACAAATACTACATAAACATAACAGCTTTTAATACACAAAAATGAAACTCAATGAGTGCATTTTACGAAAGGCATTGTCACAGTGGTCATCCTGAAAAACCTTGAAACAAATGTTTACAGGTGTGTTTTTAGAAGTCGGTATGAATGTTAGAGACCAAGGTCCCACTAAATCCCTGACAGACATTCTACTCGGTGTATATAATTCCGGCAGCCTAAGCTGGGAGACCAGCCGACCAAATTCATACACACATATATAAACTGAAGAAATTAGTCCTGGAGTAAGTCATCTTGGAGTAATCAGACTGCAATGTACCCACCAGCATTTATTTGCATGGGTCTTTGCAATGTCTAGGGATCATTACAAATGTTCGTATGCCTTGGTCAGTTCTCATAACTCCCTATAAATGTCCAGTTGAAATGAAAATCACATTCCAAGCAGCTCTTTGCCAGTCTCTTCTCCAGTGTGCCACCCACTTTTTCAAGTCCCACAGAAAACCTTCAAACCATGGTGGCTTTTGGGCACTATTATCAGCCAGAAAAAGTAAGAGAGAAGAATACCCTAACAGAAAACAGGAGTTGTTAGTGAGATGACTATCATCCTACCTAAAGGAAGACACCAACTGTTTCTCAGCAACTGCAAGGAGATTAAAATAATCCATAGGATTCATAAGTCCAACACTGAAAAGCCTGGTGCTGGCTCTGATGCTGCTAAACATTTAGTGGACATCTAGGTGACAAAAGGTTAAAAAGCAACCTCACTGAAAGATAGGGTATTGAAAAAACATCTGTGACATCTGGGTGGGCCAATTTGAAAATACACCAACCGTCCTCGATATCTCGTGATAGTCACTGAATGAAGCCAGGGAAGAGAATGTCTTTGAGTTTGTTTTCAAAAAGAAGGTTTATTTCTGTTACGCCAATCCTCAATTAGAGTAACTGCTGTATTTTAATTACACCTAAAGCTTTGCTGCAAGTGTGTTAAATATATGTTTGAGTCTCTAATGAGTTCTTTAATTTTTTACAAAACTGGACACATCACAAATATAGATTTATCCTTCATAGATAAAAAACTGGCATAAACAGTAGCTGTTGAATGTGTTTCTTAATGAGGTTTTTGTTGTTGTTGCACAGTGCTTCTTCTGGACATGTTTTTTCTAGAACAGCAATTTAATTATGAAAGTGCTAGTGAAAGTATCCAGCGACATGCTATATTTATCCAAGACTTGTGAAAGTATTACAAGCTGCATGTAGCATTGCCAATGTTTAGCGGCACTTAAGGGAAAGCATGAATCCTACTACAGTATAGATTAATTATACATTTACTATCTTATGTTAGAATATCAGCCTTGCTTAAACTGATCTAATTTTTACGTCACGTTTATACACCTTAGATGTACACTGGTGACAGCAACTTCCTGAGTTTGAGCAAAAATATCAATTGTTAATTAAGTACAATAGAATCGTCATAAAGAAAACTCTTGATTCTAAGGTAGATATGTAAACAGATGCAAGCATCAACATATGCAAGGGACATTCATATACAAAAGTTAATTTACATTATAAAGGACATTAAGAGCTAGAATAATGAAAAGTGAAGATTACAACTCCATCTTCTCTTTCAAAGTGAATACTCCCCTTCACCTTCCCAAATCAAGCCAGATAACTCTAGCATGGGATGCCATGTAATTGCAGACTGCACAGCATATTGGACTGCCCACTATTTTACAGCTATGAGTCAAAGAATTATACCGACTGCAACACCCAGCTTCCACAGGGTATAAGGATGGAGGCTGAACATTCCACATTCACTGCTTTAAGACAGAAACTACACATTTAAATGTATGTGAGAGCAAGTCTCGACCGTCAAACTATTTTCCACCATTCTTGCCCTTAAACCACTCTCAATGGCTAAATGTATTCCTGTAACATTTTAAAAATGTTTATTTATCCTACCATTGTAGCACTGACTGTCTACCCTATACTTCTGTATTAACTATACTGAAAAATACCAAGGACTTTTCGTTTGTGTATGTAGCCATGAACTAAATTATTTTACTCTAGAGAAATCTTCCATTCAGCATGCTTGCCAAGTCCTCATATTATAAAATCCTCACTTGATTCTAGTTGGAATATTTATGGTACATGCAGATGGCTTCATGAACAAAACTAGCTCAGTTTAATATTCCAACACTAAATAAAGGGTAGCTGACTGTACAGCCCCCCCCCCCAAAAAGAGCCATTTAAAAAGTTACATGCTAAGTGCAAGAGAAGGAAGTTTTGGTTTCTTTTTGTATTCAGTTCCATCCAAAAGCCTGAGCTCATACATGCTTGCAGGAGAATTGATTACTAAAATATTGTATAATGTATGCAAGCTTTGACACTAGTGAAAGCTACTGTAAAGAAAAGAGGTTGGAACATATTCACACAGACTTCAAGGAAACAGAGTTCGGGAGTAAAGACTCATTAATTTTAAAATGAGCTTTAATTTATTTTTCCCTTAAGTGCAGTTGTCAATGTAAACAAAACATGTTACAATTCCAGTGAGTTGTAGGACATTGCCGATATGTTCATTCTCTTCAAATATGCTCTTTTAACATTATGCCAGTTACCTGACGGAAAGAGCAGCTTCTAAATAGCATACACTTGTTGGCTTCTTTTCAAATCTAACTAACTAAAATCAGTTTTACAACCTGTAAAGTGAAAGCTGCATTAAAAGATCTTAAAATTGCTTGGCTGTTAAATTTTATATATTGGAGTATGTTGTGTCTGTGTGTATCAAGTGTACATACATAGAAGAATATTTTCTTTAAGGGTCACCACAAGTTTCCTGTACCGCATTATTTGCATTGCCATAAATAGTTGAAACAGTTCACTGCTACTTAAATCTAAGCAATCATGGCACAAGAGCAAGAGAAATCTCAGTCAAAAAAGAAAGCCAGTCTTCAGAAAGTGGCAACATATGGAGTGTACAATTTCATAAAGGAGCAATGCAATACATTTGTTTTCACAAGTTAGAAATAGCCCCTAAGACATGAAAATTTATGCTATGAAATTAAAAACAATCTATGGGACCCATGTGCTATTCAGCTATATCATGACTTTTGAATAAAGTAGTCTACATATTTGAACCAGAGCCTACAACAGATCATTTGCACAAGAATATAAAATAAATTTCTCAATTTAAAAGATGCCTAGATAATCCACAAATATATTATGCATGGTCATCCCTCACATGGGAAAAATAAAGTTTCTCCCTCCAAAACTCCAAGAATGTATCATATTTACAGCACACTTTGGTTCTCTATAAAAATAGATATTTAATTTCTGATGAGGCATTGTGTTTCAATTCATTTTAACTGGTGTCTAGAATGCTGGAACTGAACTAGTGATGTGCAGACAAGAGATTTTTTTTTCCCCGTGATAGCCAAAGGACAGATAAGCAGAAAGCTTCTACCCATTTGAAAGCTACAAGTAACTCTTGTTTAAACAAGTCTATTTTTGTTGTTTTGAAGTGATTGTGCTAGATGTATCAATAGACATTTATGTGCATGTGTATTATGTACAGATACCATTAGTTTATTAATGTTTGCATTTCAGTGTAAAGTCATTTAGAGTTATTTTGACCATAACTTAATTTTTCTACTTTAGACACATTACAGATATAAACCCCATCCCAGAGAGCAAAGCTGGTCAGGAAAGGTGCTATTGCAGGTCACTTCCGATCTGTATCCCTTCCCTAAACAACACATATGCCAAGTAGAAGGTATGACAGAAAAATATTAAACTTTTTTCATCTCCAAAACTGAAGAGTCTGACAGTTATTAAAATAAGTTTCTCAATCTTATTCTGGTGTGGCCACAGCGTGACAACATATTGAAAGTGTTAAATCCACAGATAGAGGAAGTCTCACTCAGGACAGGCACAGTCCAGTTCGATTGAGCAAATGCTCAGAATAAGGCAGTGTCCCTCACAGAAGAACACATCGGAAAAAGCTGCTTTTCTTTTGTTGGTCTGGTGTGATTTTGACTCCCTGGTTGCTGCCTTGTGGGCTATTGCCCTCCTAAAGATGCAAAGAATTTTTAAAAATATACATATAAAAAGCTAAATTGACTGCAAGATTACTTTACTTTTGAGCTGGATTCAAAAACCACCAAGGTCATCAGGAATTTTTCAATTGGCTTCAATGAGTTTGGGTCAATGTCTATAGCAGGCCAACCCCTTCACCTCCAACTCCTTCCCCCCCCTCAAAAAAACCCACACCATCACCATCTTCCCCCCCCCCCCCAAAACAATCAATAAAAAGTGAATTCTGATAAATGGGGCTCAATTGTGAGCTGTGCATATTCTTTATACTTGTACTGGATTCAAATGCCTGAGATGAAAGTATCCACAACTTTTATGTTAGTCTCATTAAAATATCGGAGTCATTATCAAGACCTAAATATGACAGTTATGTCTGCACACAATTCTGTATGTCGCATCACGGTTGTTATCAAAAGCCTATATAAGAATTTGTTTCAATAGAGATTGCACAATGCTTCTTCATTAAGTTTGTTTAATAAATAAGACCAAAAATACCCCAGCAGTCTCATCAGTTGCAAAAAGAAATTTTTAGAAATAAACCAGGTGAAACATGAGTTAGTGATAAAAATCCCAGAAACTAGTCCCATAAACTAGAAAATCTTAATAGTCTGGAGTACACAGGATCCGCTACAGACCAACCTTATGCAAGAGTGAGGAATTTCATTCATCAGTTTAATTCCCACCAAGATTTCAGTAGAACAATGCAGGAGTTGTCAATGACTTCAGAACATTTCTATTTAAAAACTCTCAATTATGATTTCAGCTATGGGAATTAGTCCTCTGTATACAAACGGCACCCAGGGAGTTGATTAGAAAATGAAGAGAACATTTGTCATCACCAATGTGTCTAAGTGGAACAGCCTGCAAACAACGCATATTCTAGTCAACTTAATACTATTTTTTAAATCCCACAACAATCAGTGAAAGTTACTCACCAATTTCTTGTCCATTTTTGCTTTGATATCTCTTGCAAGAGTGAAAAATGCCTAAAGTAAAGCATATTTAAAACTTGTGTTTTATTAGCTACCTTCACATATGCAAGTTCATTGAAAAAAAAAAAAAAAAGCTGCTTTTTTTAATTGAAAAAGAAGTGGTACCAATTAATGCTAAATTTTCAGCTAGGAGGTGTGACCTACCACTCGGAAACCTTTAACAGCTTAAAAAAGGACTCAAGTTCAGACAGTCTCTCACTCACCAGAATCACTCACATGGACCCACTGATCTAGATAACAGATTGACCTGATGTGTAAGAAACACTGAAAACTAATACAAGCTGAAGTGCAGATTACTACATGGAAAGGTATATAAGCTCATGTTGGCCACTACCTCAAGGCAATCGATCAGCAGCCAAGGAATCTGCAGCAGGACAAAGAGACACCACCTGATCCTTGAAGGACAAAGTGAGATATCTTTCTCTCTCACTCTCATACAGCTTCATACCAAACCATTCATCAAGATGGACAGAAGACATCTTAATAAGCAGAGACTCAGTAAATCCATATAAGATCATACAAAATTTTAAACAACTTTTATAGAGAAACGTGCCCTTTGCAAAGACACTTCGATGAGACAGTCCAAGTTAGCTAAAAACCCACTGCAAATAACTGTGATTTAAATAAAATCATCTGCATTATGAGAAAGAGAGATTTTGGTACTCACATTCTCTATGTTAATATTTGCTTTTGCACTGGTCTCCATGAATTTAATTCCAAAACCAATAGCTAGCTGAACAAAAAATAAAGGATTAATTATATCACACAGGTGGCTATAGGCAGAGCCCTGAATAAAAATTGATTCTCATTGTGCGGGACCTGCCATAGAACTGATTAGTGAGTTTGGCAAAGTGACACTATTAAATTGAAATTCAGATACCACAGCATCTTTTAAAAGTTACAAATATTTCTCTTTAACCAAACTGGGCTTTATTAAAATGCTAGTTACATTACACTGATTTAACTTGAAGTCTTATTTAAAAAGAAAATTAAAAGATTGTATTGAAGGTAAAATTTGCATATTTTTGCACAGCACTCAATAATCCCAACAAGATACCTACACAGACAGTGAGTGAGACACTGCATCCCATATTTTAGACAGTGATATTATTATATGGTGCATGTGAGGGGTCACTGAAAAAGTTGTGATTTGCTGAATATGATCATCCTACTTGTATGCATGTTCCATTTTTGTACATGAAGTTATGAATATTGATTATGTATCTGCATTTCAAATGCAGCTGCACCTTGGTAACAGCCACCAGACAAGATGCTTTCAGTATAGATAAGTGGGAGGGGGAAGCACCAAGTCAGGGTAATGGGCAATTAGGAAAAACAGGCCTTAGGAGAAACTTATTTCCCACCTGGTAAGCCTCCCTTTTACACTTCAAACAGCCTGCAAGTGAGGGTCGCTATGCCTCTAAAGGGGTATATGATCAGGTCACTTGGTGTTGGATTCCATCTTGGGATATCCGTGTTTTCCCACAAACTGGTCTGGGAACCAAGCTTTGAAACAAAGTTTCCCACCATACGTGAAAGCTGTACAAGGCAGGGAGTGGCATGATTCTTCACTGCTAACCCAAAAGGAGTCCTGGAAACGACGACAGAACAATGATTGAATCGGGGGTTGTACTGTACCCAGGCTAAAGGGATTTCAAACCTGTTTATGACAGACCTGAGGATTCCAAGCAGTGAAGTAAGTGCAGCTTGCCCCTTAAGACTCCGCAGTCTGCTCTCTCATTTTACGGCGAGAATCTGCCTATTCTTACTGATTTATTTAGTACATTAAGCTTAGTTTGCATTTATTTGCTAGATAATTTGCTTTGATCAATTTGTTATCACTCATAATGACTTAAATCTACCTTTGTGGTTAATAAACTTTTTTTTGCTTTCTCTAAACTAATGAGTTGGAGAAAAGTGCGTGGGAATCATAACAGGCTGTTGCATATTCCTCTCCATGTTGGCAGGGTCTGTGTGAGACTTTTAGGAGATTACGCTGCACAGGACAAGACAGCGTAATTTGGGGTTTACACTCTAGAGGAAGTGCACTCCTGAGGAACTGGGCGTTCTAGTTATAGCATTCCTATGCAGGAACTAGTCAGAGAGCCTGCATGTAACTGCAGCAGAGTGTCCCCCTACCTGTATGTATGCAGGGGAAAGTGCAGGCTAGAGTGCTTTGCAGCTTGTTACAGCAGTACAGTGTGAGAAGGAGCCAAGTCTGGGGCCAGAGGGGCTCAGTTCAAGGTGGCACCCCTGGGGGAACCCATCAGATAAGAAACAAGTGAGAAGAAACTACATAACAAAAAGAACAAGAAAGATGAGCATGAAGTTTTACTATTTGTAGGAATCTAAGTGCCTGCAAGCAGTTTTGCTCGGGTGGATCCCTGTACCTTTACAGATCTCTACTGTTTTTCATTAGGAATGAGCAGGTCTGCCTCTTCCAGCTTTAGGTGTCATTGTGCCCCATTCCACTGGCCTTCAAGCAAAAGCAGGACTTCCAAATCATGTACATTTTCTTCCTTTTTCTAAAAAAAGCTTGTTACCCCCACTTAAAGTCTCTTCTCCCAACAGTTGGGGACTAAGGCTTCATTATATAGGATGCTCTCTCCTCTTTGTGTGTGGGGAGGGGGGGGGGGGGGGGGGGGGCAGAAGGGGAAGAAGAGGAGAGGATTTCAAAAGGGAAGAGAATTTGTGGTATGTTCCTACATTATAACACAACATTTTTAAATAGTGCTGTAAGAGTTTAACCGGTTAACGAATAAGCTGGAGCTTATCGGTTATGGGAAACAGTTAAAATATGAAGAGTTTCTCTCCCATCTGGTGAACCTCCCTGTGAAACACACATCAACTGATAAGTTTCCGGAAGTATTCCAGAATTGTTAAAATTTTAACTCATGTGATAGAGGTCAATGATACATAATACAATGTAGTTCTCACTGTGACAGTCTGGGGGGATATGTCTGTGTCAAATTATGACCTCGGTTTTGTGAATGTCATTTAAGCATTGTAAACAGTGGATCAGAGTGTTCATGTCATGTCTGAACATGTAGCAGACCGACTATGACAGCACAATCAAAGACCAGCAATACTGAATGCCTCTCTCCTATTGGAACAACGGGTTTTTTTTTTTAATAAACAGGTCAATTGAATTTGGAACTTCATCAGAGGAACTTCATGGCCAACAAGAGGGATTGAGGGTAGGTGTAGACTGTAAAGGTGTGTCTAGACTACATGGCTCCATCGACGGAGCCATGTAGATGAGTTTACTTGGCAAAGGGAAATGAAGCAGCGATTTAAATAATCGCCGCTTCATTTGCATCAAAATGGCCGCTGCGCTGTGCCGATCAGCCGTTTGTTGGCACAGAGCGGCAGTCTAGATGGGGATCTGCAGACCCCAGAACCCTTCGTCGGCAGTTCCTTTATGCCTCGTTAAACGAGGCTTATAGGATCTGCTGACGAAGGGTTCTGTGGCCGATAAATGGCTGATTGGCACAGCGCGGTGGCCATTTTGATGCAAATGAAGCGGCGATTATTTAAATCGCTGCTTCATTTCCCTTTGCCGAGTAACCTCATCTACATGGCTCCATCGATGGAGCCATGTAGTCTAGACACACCCCAATTGCTGGATATATAACTGCATCAGAAGATATTCCAAGCTAGCTAGATGGTCTGGGAAACAATTGTTCCAGGAGCAATGAGAGCTGTGGAGGCAGAGCCTCCAGGCAAGGAAGGAATCCATTTTGAGACACTTGGATGAGAGGAAAGTGATTAGGAATAGTCAGCGTGGATTCACAAAGGGCAAGTCATGCCTGACCAATCTGATTAGCTTCTATGATGAGGTAACTGGCTTGGTGGACATGGGAAAGTCAGTGGATGTGATATACCTTGACTTTAGCAAGGCTTTTGATACCGTCTCCCACAGTATCCTTGCCAGCAAGTTAAGGAATGTGGATTGGATAAATGGAAGGTAAGATGGATAGAAAGATGACTAGAAGGCCGGGCCCAGCGGGTAGTGATCAACGGCTCGATGTCAGGATGGCAGTCAGTTTCTAGTGGAGTACCCCAAGGTTCGGTTCTAGGACCGGTTTTGTTCAATATCTTTATTAATGACCTGGATGAGGGGGATGGAGTGCACGCTCAGCAAGTTTGCGGATGACACTAAGCTAGGGGGAGAGGTAGATACGCTGGAGGGCAGAGATAGGATCCAGAGTGACTTAGACAAATTGGAGGATTAGGCTGCAAGAAATCTGATGAGGTTCAACAAGGACAGGTGCAGAGTCCTGCACTTGGGACGGAAGAATCCCAAGCATAGTTACAAGCTGGGGACCAACCAGTTAAGTAGTAGTTCTGCAGAAAAGGACCTGGGGGTTACAGTGGATGAGAAGCTGGATATGAGTCAACAGTGTGCCCTTGTAGCCAAGAAGGCTAATGGCATATTAGGATGCATTAAGAGGAGCATTGCCAGCAGATCCAGAGATGTCATTATTCCCCTTTATTCAGCTTTGGTGAGGCCACATCTGGAGTATTGTGTCCAGTTCTGGGCCCCCCACTACAAAAAGGATGCGGACGCATTGGAGAGGGTCCAGCGGAGGGCAACCAAAATGATTAGGGGTCTGGAGCATATGACCTACGAGGAGAGGCTGAGGGACTTGGGTCTGTTTAGTCTGCAGAAGCGAAGAGTGAGGGGGGATTTGATAGCAGCCTTCAACTTCTTGAAGGGAGGTTCCAAAGAGGATGGAGAAAGGCTGTTCTCAGTAGTGACAGATGGCAGAACAAGGAGCAATGGTCTCAAGTTGTGGTGGGAGAGGTCCAGGTTGGATATTAGGAAAAACTATTTTACGAGGAGGGTGGTGAAGCATTGGAATGGGTTACCTAGGGAAGTAGTGGAGTCTCCATCCCTAGAGGTGTTTAAGTCTCGGCTTGACAAAGCCCTGGCTGGGTTGATTTAGATGGGATTGGTCCTGCCTAGAGCAGGGGGCTGGACTTGATGACCTTCTGAGATCTCTTCCAGTTCTATGATAAGGAGATGGGTTGATGAGAGAATATGATCTTGGTAACTAATTGACCGTTCATTTTCAGTGGGAAATATGTCAATGGAGGGATGATAGGAGTTACTATAGAGAACTTTCTGGGTGTCTGGCTGGTGAGTCTTGCCCACATGCTCAGGGTTTAGCTGATCGCCATATTTGGGGTCGGGAAGGAATTTTCCTCCAGGGTAGATTGGCAGAGACCCTGGAGGTTTTTCGCCTTCCTCTGTAGCATGGGGCGCAGATCACAGCTGGAGGACTCTCTGCATCTTGGGACCTTCAAAGTATTTGAAGGCTTCAATATCGGAGATATAGGTGAGAGGATTATTCTAAGAGGGGTGGTTGAGATTCTGTGGCCTGCACTGTGCAGGTGGTCAGACTAGATGATCATAATGGTCCCTTCTGACCTTAAAGTCTATGAATCTATGAGAGCATTGGGCACATGGGAAAGCTGTCTCTGATGTGGCTTAGGGGGAGGAGGGGTAGAGGAATGGCAGTTTGCAGAGCCACTCCCCCCGCCACCACCAGGAAGGGCTGGCCTAGAACACAGAGGTTTTATGGGCGGTGGGGGCCCCTCCTCCATAATTACATTGCCCAGACCAAAGGGGCTTAGAAGAACATGGGATTCAATCAGAACAGACCAGTGTCTATGCAAAGAGCGGAGTGGGGGCAGGTTCTGAGACTCACCTTCTCTCCTTGCTCTCTTGAAACTTGTCTTTTGTCATTCACATCACATTTGTTTCCAAGAATCATCTTTTCAACATCTGGGGATGCATGCTAAGATGGAAACGGGCACAAAGTTAAGATAAATTCTTTGCAGAACATTTGTTGGCTTCATGCTTGCTAAGTTTACTTCTAATATTATCTCTTACAAGGGATTATACTATGCACTGAGTTCTGACTGCATGCCAGGAACATACAACTTACCTCACACTCTTCTCTTTCGCCCATTCTCCCAAAGCTATAGTGCAACCAAGGCAGTGAATTTTCATTAATTACAGGAAAAATAGTTTACCATACCATAAAATCCAATGCTACCATTCAGAACCGCAATGCTTATTAGTGTATAATCTATTTGATGAACAGCAAAAGTTTCACTGCCCCTCAGATGCCAAGTGACCCACAAAAAAAGGAAACTGGTCTTTTACTTAGAAAATATAGCCGGTCGGTCCCCGAGTTGTAAACGGTCGACTTACGACCGAAACGGTCGTAAATGGCGGACCCCGAGTTACGAACGTAATCCACGCTTACAAACAGCGGTCATATGTAACTCAATGGGGTCTGACTTATGAAGAAACCGAGTTACGACCATTTACTTGGTCCGTAACTGGTTCGTAAGTCGGAGAGAGGCTGTATTAACTTTCAGTTGTCTATTAACCTTACAGAAAGTTATCCACACTGTTGCTTCACATTTATCTCAGATAATTATGGTGCTTTCTGTATCTTGTCTTGTATACCTGTGATGGGATACAATCAACTCTACATCGGCAATGCAGGGGTTAAACAAGAGGCCCTACCACCTCATCCTTGCTAGGCATGCTCAGAGTGGAGTAAAAATATAAAGGATGCAGTTCAGTTGACACAGAAACTTCGCTTTGTTATGACAATGGGAGTCAAGAGAAGAGAAGTTCAATGCTACTTGTAGGACAAAGTAATGTGGTAACGGAGCTGAACATGTTCTACAGTACTTTACTTTCCATTATAAAATACACATTCAAGTTTCTCTCTCAACTTCTCTCTACCCTTCATTGTTTTTTTTTTAATATCAACAAAGTTTATAGACAGAGACCTAAGATTGTGTTATCTTCCAGTTTGTAGAGATCAGTATCCCCTCTAATATGTTATGTTCCCATGTAAAACAAATTGTGTTATATACACCAATATGGTGATGATGTGCAACACATAACCTCCATATTGGTGCACATAACAAAATTCATTTTGCATATGGACAATCTGTTGGGTGGAGCTGAGGGGTTCAGAGTGTGGGAAGGGGCTCAGGGGAGGAGGTTGGGGCTAGAGTGTGGTATCTGGATAGCAATTAGGGTGTAGGAGAAGACTCAGGGTTGGGCCGTGGGGTCTTGGAGGAAGTTAGGATGCTGGAGCAAGCTTGGGGCTGGGGCAGCTCTTATTTAGTGGTGGAGGGGAAGAGGTGGCACTATGTTGCCCTGTGCTCACCTGTAGCCACTGCCTCCTGCAGCACCCACTGGCTGTGATCCCTGGCCAATGAGAGCTGTGGAGACAGAGCTTCCTGGCACTCAGACGCAGCTTCAGGAAGGCCTGTCCCAGAACACAGGGACTTTATGAGTTGCTGCTCACGGCCCCTAGGCTAAGGGCTCTGTGCCTCTAAAGGCCCTTTCTTAATCCGACCCCAGTAGGGCTGCCACGACAGCTCGAGTCCCTGCGTCATGCTTACCAGGTGGCTGTACAGCCACACAGCTTAGTGGGAACCTTGGTGGTGATTCCAGAGAAAAGCGTCATGACTGCACATTGTAAGAACAAATAACCTCTGAACACTAAGCACTGAGTTACCTCTACAATTGTTCAATATATGCAGAGAGTCACCTACAAGATTAAGTAACTGTTAAAGCATTGGCAGCTTTCATGCCGAACACTTTCCAGGGAGTTAAGACTCGAAATTGGACAATAACTTGTACCTGCAATTTATTGGTGTCACTTAATGCTCACAAAGGGTGTCACTTAATGCCTTTGATGTTGACCGCGGAGTGTCCAGACTAGCGCGCTGAGCCGACAAACAGTTGATCGGCACAGCACGGCAGCCATTTAAATGTAAATGAAATGGCGATTATTTATATCGCCGCTTCATTTTCCTATGCCGGGTAGCCTAATCTACATGCCTCTGTCGCCAGAAAAGACTACAGTTCGTGAAGTCTGCTCTTACATTTGGGCATACTGAATTGCTACTGATTAATAAATTTCCGAAGATATTACCAGTCTGGAGCTTCAGACGAACAATGCATCTCCAATCCACATTAAAAAAAATTTCACACAACTTAGTGGCAAATATAACAGTTCTATACCATTTTGATTTTCATTATTTGCATCAGGATAGTATTTTTAATACTCAAGATTTTTGTAAATAAAATGGGAAATTACCTCTTCAATATTCCTGACCCAATTCCGAATGTTTTCGAAAGATTTCTCATTGGTTATGTCATATACCAACATTATGCCCTAAAGATTAACAAACAAAAAAAAAAACAAAGACAACTTAATTTTATCTGACAACTGATTCTATAATCATTACAGAGATGCCAAGCAAGAAGAAAAAAAAATTCTGAAAGGCTTACATTAAAAAAAAAAATCATTAAAACTCCCAAACTCCACATCAACTTATAATATGAAGCCACTTGCACATGGAAGCAACTGCTGAAAGGAATCAAAAAGCCAAACAGTTTTTTACTACAGGTTGGACCTCCCTTGCCCAGCACCCGATTTTCCGGATTAGAGGAGGTCCCTTTCCTCATGGCCCATGCTGCCCCCCGAACTAGGGCTCCAGCCTGGCCCCACTGCTGCCCCAGTCTCCTGGGGCTTTCTAACTGCTGCCAGCTCCACGGCTGCCAGGGCCGGAGCTCTGCAGCCTCTTGGCTCCACGGCTGGGTTTGGGCCTGGAGCTCCAGAGCCACCGCTGGGACCACAACTGCCAGCCATGCCATGTGTCTTACCCCACCGGGGGGTGAGTCAACCCCCGATATTGCACTCCTCCCTGTTACTGGGCTCTGCTGTCCAGGAATATTCATGGTTGCACTGGACCATGGATATTGCTGGACCAAAGAGTCCCAGTTAAGGGAGGTACAACCAGTATTTAACTTGGATTAAATGTATTGCATATCTGTAGAATACCAGAATCTTTGAGATATACTGTAACCTATGTCTTAGCAAACCACACATGTTATTTGTTTATCTGCCTCCAACATGCACATGCATTTTTTTTTTAAATTAGCAAGTCATACTGGACTCCCACAACAGCTGTTGCTGCTGCAGTGTAATTTGAACTTAGAGATGGGAGCACAGGTCTTACCAAATATCTTGCCAAGCGGAGTTCAAGTTCTGAAGTTCATTAGAGTTTAGAAATGATTATGCTTCACAGTAAAACTGGAATGGTTTCACTTTCTGCAGAACATTATAAACAGATTTAAAACTAAAAAATTTCAGTTACATCATGCCTACCATTGCTCCTCTGTAATATGCAGTTGTGATTGTTCTAAACCGTTCCTGCCCAGCTGTGTCCCTAAAATAATTAAGCACATCCAATTAGTGCATGCAAACTACTTGAATACATTCTGAAATTAAGGTCATTAGAGAGAATTCCATTAAGTTTTACAGTGACTTTTTAAAAACCAACAAATCTACAGCTTTATTTTCATAGACTGCAAAGCCAGAAGGAACTATTATGATCTAGTGCCACAGTTCTCAAAAGAATGGATTCAAAAGCAGATTAATGGGGTCACCAGGACTGGATTACACTGCCCAGGGCCAAAGTGGGGCTCAGATTACAGGCCATCCACTCATGGCAGTGGGACTCAAGCTTTGGCTCTGGCTTCCCCACCAGGAATGGCAGGGCTTGGATGGGTTCAGACTTTAGTCCTCCTTCTGCCCAGCAACATGTAGTAATTTTTGTTGTCAGAAAGGGAACCATGGTGCAATGAAGTTTGAAAAACCCTAATACAGTCCAACCTCCTGAATATCACAGGCCAAGGAACTTCCTCAAAATAATTTCTAAAGCAGATCTTTCGGAAAAATATCCAACCTTGAGTTTAAAACAATGATGGAGACTCCATCGCAACCTTTGTGGTAAATTGTGCCAATGGTTAATTACTCTGTTAAAAACTTACAGCTTATTTCCATTCGTCTAGCTTCAACTTCCAGGCATCGGCTTGTTTATACCTTCTTTTGCAGTAGTGAAGAGCCCAATGTTAGCTCCTCAAGTAGACAGATTAATCAACTCACCCATTAACCTTCTCGCAAGCTAAATAGATCTCCTTGAGACAGAAGAGTGACCAAACAGCAAGTATGAAAAATTGGGATGGAATGGGGGAATAACTTGTGCCTATAGAAGATAAAGCTCCAAATACTGAGACTGTCCATTGATCCTTAAGAAAAAATATAAGCACAAATATGGAATTGGGGAAACTAGCATGGCTGAAAAGGATCTGAAAGCCATGGCAGATCACAATCTCAATGTGAGCCAGAAATGTATGTTGTTGCAGAAAAAGCAAATGCAACTTTAGGTTGCAATAGCAGCAGAATAGCATACAAGTCATATGATGCAATAGTACCATTTTACTTAGTGTTGATTAAACCTCAGCTGGAGTATTGTGTCCAATTTTGGTCACCAATGTATTTGAAAGGAGGCAGAAAAAATAGAAAGGATCCAGAGGCAAGCACCAAAGATGATTAAAGAGATGGAATGCAAGGCATATGAGCAAAGACTGAAATGTTTACTTTGCAAAAGACGAGATTAAGGGGGGGAATCTGCATGATCTTCAGGTACTTGAAAGGCTGCCATAAAAAGATGGAGAAAAGTTGCTATCTTTTCTCCAGAGGCAATGGGTTCAAATCACAGCAGATTTAGATCAAATTACAAGAAAAACTTCCTAACTGTTAAGGCCAGTAAGACAATGCAACAAATTGTCTCAGGAAACTTTTCCAAAGGAGGCTGGATAGCCATCTGTCTCGGATGGTTTAGACCTAAGAAATCCTGCATCAAGCTTGGAAAGGGGGTTGGACTAGATGAGCCTTGTAGTCCTTCCAACTCTATGATTTTTTACATATACATTTCGAGATGGGATTAGGTATTAGATCTTTTGGCCACAGCATCACACTGAAAGCCTGTAGTTATTCACCACAATTTCCAAACCTTTTTCAGTCTATGCGTCCCTAGAGAGTCTGGTATGCATTTTTTATTCCTAGATATCTATATTTATATGTAGCCATATTAAAATACTATTATTTGCCTGCATGCAGTTTACCAAGTGTCTCTGAATTGTTATTTATCACACTCCTATTATTTGTCATCAACAATCTTTCAGTGTTTATGTTTTCCTCAGATCACTGATAAGAACGTTAAATAGGATAGGGCTAAGAATTGAGCCATAAGAATGGCCAGGACTTGACAAACCCTGGCAAGAACCGCGCCAGATCAGCACTGCGCATGCACGAAGTGCCGGTGAATGGGGTGCATGGAGCAACCGGCTGAAACGTACTCGCCATAGGCGAGTAGATTCAGTGGTTTGTCGAGCCCTGAGAATGGCCATGCTGGGTCAGGTTAATAGTCCATCTAACCCAGCACCCTGTCTTAACAGGGACCTATGCCAGGTGCTTCAGAGGGAATGAACTCAACAGGTAAGCGATCTGTCCTCTGTTTTCTATTCCTGGATTCTGGCAAACAGAGGCTACGGACACTTAAGAGAACGGTGGCTAACAGCCATTGATGGACCTAGTCTCCATATAAACTTATCCAGTTCTTTATTGAGCCCTGTTCTTCCTGGCCTTTACAACATCCTCTGACAAACAGTTCCACAGATTGACTGTGCATTGTGTGAAGTAGTACTTCCTTTTGTTTTAAGCCCCTTATCTATTAATTTCATTTGCTGACCCCTAGTTCTTGTGTTATCCATACAAGACTCCACTGTTTCTCGTGGAAACACTCTCTCTTGACCATTTCCCCCATTTACATCAATTAACCAGCATTTAATCCATTTAATGGATGCCATGTCAATTTTATATTTTTCTTAATTTTTTTAAATCAAAATCTCATGTAGTACCAATTCAAATGGCTCACAGAAGTCTAGATATATGACAGCAATTTATTACCATTATCTACAAAACTTGTAATCTCCGAAAAAAGATATCAAGTTAGTTTGGCAGGATCTATTTTTCATAAACTCCATCTTAAATAAACTCAGATACTATGATCTCAACAAGTAGAATTAGGGCAAAAACCCTATGTCAGTATCACCACTCAAAATGTTAACGGTGAAGACATTAGGAGGTATTAGTTCATGTCAAAACATCTGACCTTAAGTCATATAGCTTTAAAAGAAAATGCTTACCATATCTGCAGTTTAATTCTCTTGCCATCTAGCTCTATGGTTCTAATCTTAAAGTCAATACCTGGGGGGGAAAAGAATCTACATTCATTAAGATTTCCAGTAAAAACCAAGTTAACACTTTTTTCCCTTTAATTTTCCATAAGAAGGCACCTATTCCATTTTGTTAATTGATTAGATAGGATGTGAATTCTGAATGACCATGGCATTCTTAAAAACATTCACAAATGTCTTGTTGATAACAGACCTACTCCTAAACCAGCAGACATTCGTTTCAATAAATAACAACCCTTTCAGTACAGTCGCTACAGCAGAACCAGAATGTACAGTTCAATGTAACTTCAAAAAGCAGTATCCAGGTCAATACAGCATTATGTCACATGAGCTTGCTAGAAGTATCATCTAATTACATTTCTCTTTTCTCAACTTTAGTAGACTATTAGAGAATTCATTTTCGCAGCAGAGTAGTCTTTTCTTATTAAGACACCATGTCAAAGACTTGCATCTGTAATAATAAAACACTTCTTAAAAGTCTTATTATGACTAGAAAATAAAATCAGATTTCAGGGCAACGGTTTATTTTTCAAGTCCATATGTAATTCTACAGATGTTTGTTTATATACCATCATTAGTTAAGGTCACATTGCCCTCCCCACTCATTTTCTAAGGTATGAAACTCAACTGCTATGCAAAAAGAAAAATTAAGTATCAAAGTGCAATACAGGCAGTCCCCGACTTACGCGGATCCGACTTATGTCGGATCTGCACTTACGAACAGGGCTTTCTCGCCCCGGAGCTCACAGGCAGCGGTCAGCCACCTCGAGCTCCGGGGCGAGAAAAGCTGCTCCCGGTGCCCCTGGTCTGCTGGGGACCGTCTCCAGCAAACCAGGGGCACCGGGAGCAAAGCGGTCCGGCGCCAGAGCAAAGCCTCAGAGGCGAGGCACCCCCCCGCTGCCGCCTTGCT